ATGAACAGGACCATGTAAGTTTAAATGCTATTAAAAAGCGTTGGCAGGTGTAAATGAAGATTAGAAGACTTTGCATAGCAGCAAATAATTCTACACTAATTCAGCACAGTAAACAAGATGGCAAACTCGACCTACCTATTTATTTCCTCTTCAGATCTCCAGTTTCCAGCAAAGTATCTTAGTTTGTTCCAAATCACACAGAGTTGCATGTTGTTGTTTTTCTATAGCTCTTCTTTTTCTACTGATGCAGTGTCGATGCACAGCAAGTTACAGGCAGCCCACGTTTCAGCAGTCCCCTCTGTTTTCTTTCACAAGTTCTCAACTATTGAGTTTTATGTTGGTTAATTAATGACTAATCACTTAATAGACCTTTATATCTGTGTTTATGACGTTTTTGTTTTGGCCTCTTTAGGATTGGCCCAAACAGTGGAAAGCCAAAATGAAGAAGAATCCTGATGTCTCGTTAGTGTCAAATCTGGTCTCCTACCTGCTCAGGTAACTGACAACAAGGTGGAAAACGGTTTATTTTTCTTGTGTGGAGAAATACCTGTGCTATTTATTTGTGCTTTTTTTTTAACACAACAAGACACAGTCAAAGCATTCAAATGTTGTGACTGCTCAGGATATTTTATTTTATTCAAGTATTGAAGGGGTGTTTAAGTGGTGTTTTGTCAATCAGAAGGGTAGCTTGGCTCGAGTGTCTGGAGAATTGCAAAGAGACGAAACCAGGCGGTAAGCCGAAACTAAAGTAACTAATAGGGAAATATGCATAAAGGCAAAAAACTGTCTGCAACGACTTCAACAACACCAGAGAAATTGAGCTGAATTCGAGGTTTGATTTGACTTTCTCTTTGTCCTTTGGTTTGACATGTAGTTAAAGTTTCACTTATTATTATCAAATTTACAGTAAAGTTAAACACAATAATAAATCATATACAGCACAGATTTTATAGAATATGCATAAACGGTGAGGTTGGTTGTGTATTTGCTTCAGATGGTTTAACTGTGCTGCAGAATTAGGCAGTCCTAATCCTGCATGTACTTGTTTCACTGAGAGTAGTTTGCACTTCTGGTAGAGGAGCTCATATGCGTGTACACACACAGCACCCCGCGATGACGAAGCAAACACACGTTTGTCAGAGTTTAGAACGAATGCAGTCTGAAGAGAGCTGCATGCCTCTAATGAAGAAACACTCAGCTCTAATCCATTTTAAAACAAGTGAAACACAATGTAGTGCAGAGTATTTACAGATGAATGATAACTTCTAAAAGATGTTCAGTCATTTAATGATCTTTAATGATTTCTGGAGCACAGTTTGTTGTTAATCTGTGGACGTATTCCACAGCTGTTTCTGATTTTGCATCGTCAGTGGATTCTGTTAACACTCTTAACTGTGTCCTCAGCCAGTCCGACCAC